GCTACAGGTTGAAACGGATGATGTGACTTGGAACGAGGCACATTTTTGCCTCTATTGGTGCCTCACCACTGGGTCACCCTGAGACCGGAGTGGTTCCATCAGTTCTATGTGGTTTCGTTTAGGTAAATGAGTTTCTGAGGCCTGGACCCCGGCTTCTTTTGCAGGTCATAATGGCTGCTTCAAAACTTTTTTCCATTAGATTAAAAAAAAAAAAGTTCATCTCGGTCCACTTTTAGCATCTTTGATGAATTCTCTCTCTAAGGTTTATGTTGGTGCTGGGAATGATTTCCCCTGACAGCACAACAATATTCTCATCAGGGGTTTGTCTTCTTGATGGCCCGTGGGGTTGCATCTAAACCCAGGAATTCCTGGTTTTCCCAACAATAGTCCCCCACACATTGCCTCCAAGTGCAGGAGCTTGGCTGGATTCTGATACCCTGGGCTGATTTCATGTACTCTGCCTTTGGAAGGCCCTTGGTGCGCTGGCTTTATGTGGGTGTGTTTAACTCAATGAGAATCATAAGGGGAGAGAGAATGGAATCCTGAAATTTCCAACCTCCCAGCAAACATTGGTGGAAGGCAATGAGTGAAGGAGTTGGGACCAGGGCCGGGTCTCACGGCTCCAAGATGTTCCTGGTTCACCATGTATATCTTAGAACCGCTCTGCCAGTCTCCATCTCTGGTGCACTGAAGCCCTTAGGTGGCATCGGGGTGCTGTGGACTTGTCCCCCCCTCCCTGCAGGCTTCCCTTCATGATCTAGCTGGAGCAGAGTGGCTGGAGCTGGGAACCCATTGGGCATCCAGGTTCTGAGTGACTCCTGGAGGGGCTTCCTTTGGGCGGGGGAGTCTTTGTCAGATTTTCCATAAACATCAGAGCCATCACCAAAAGCTGCTGCCCTGAGCAGCTACGACTGTAACTCTCTCTCCATCAGCCTGAAGTCTTGACAACAAGCTCAGATGAAGAGTTGAGCAAAGCACCCAGTGGGACAGTGGAGCTGGTGGTCACAGAAGATACACGTGTTTAAAATCCAAATATCTCCTATGCTCTTCCCCCTGCAAGGCTAGTACAGACTGGCCGCCTTATCAACCTAGAGAGCAGTCCTGGGGAACCCGGCAGCAAGAGCGGCAGGTTCCTCCCCAGGATAAGCTGTCCCCATTTCTTATTTAGATAACCGTGAGTTTCATTGGTGCCTAAATACATATGATAAAAAACAAAATGTATGCAAACTGAGTATTTTATAAGGTCGTATTTTTGAATGTGCACGTCATTCAAGACCTGCTTTTATGGTTTGTCAACAAGATCACTCCATAAACTACTTTCTGATATCTCACAGCTGTGCAGAATTTATTCTGTCTATCCATGCAGCACAAATAAAAATTTTATTTGCATCATCTAAAAGAAATACCAGTGTATAATACATAAGCAAAACGCTCAAGATACAGTCTCTGACTCCAGACACTGCTGGGGGGATGTTGCGCAACCAATTAAAAAGCTGAGAGATGGCTTCATTATCCATGTTCATAGATAATAAGTACTGTGCTCAGCAAATAGCGCAGTTTCTCAATTTCTTAAAAGGGTTGCACCATGTCCCACGAGGGCTGGCCCAGTCTGCCTTCAGATTCTCCTAGGAATACTTAGAAATAAAGCCTCTTTGAGGAACACATTTGAGCCCAGAGGGGCTTCTTTGGGATTCAGAGGCTGGAATATGTAGGTGAACAGGGAAATACTCAGTGGTTGCAGTATTTTGCCTTGAAGGAATGGGTCCTGAGGATTCAGAATGTTCTTTACTTAGGGTTTGTGCAGCCTCAGCCTGACCAAATGAAGCTCCACTGAGTTTCCCTAGTGTCCCCAAAGTCAAGCTGTGGGGTTGCTGCCTCCATTTCCTTCACAGCAAGGGTGCAGACAGGGGCTTGCCCGGGCGCCTCGGGTTTGTGCTCCATGTCCTTCCTCCTGCGGCAGCTTTCCAGGGGAGTTCTGGAGGATGCAAAGACCTTTCCTCTAAGAATGAGTCCTGGGGTGACATCTGTCACCCTTCAGTGTAGTGGCTGAGGTGTCCTTGGAAACCTGCTGTCCTACCCTGGCTGCATTTAGATCTCTTCCTCCACTCAATTTGACAAATCCTTGGACACTGGATTAGCAGTTAACTAACAACTTACTCCCGCTGCAAGCCCGGAACTGCCAGGAGTAGTTTGTCACTCAGCTGGTTTCTTTGTGAGATGCTATGGCTGCTCTGGGCGCAGGGTGTGGTTCTCAGTGGTTGATGGGAGTCCCGATGGATCTGCACCGCTCACTCTCTGGTTGCTGCTGTTTCAAAGAGGCTTTAACCCAGTTTGAATTGCATGGAGCTTTCTGATAAGTGCAGCTAGTTGCATTTTGCACTCTGTGGTATGACTCTTCAGCAGCTGTACAACCCATCCGAACCACTCTCACACGTGAATCCCACGGGGTCCTAAGCAAGAGACCAGGTGCTGGCAAAGCCTTGAGAGCAATGCCCTCGGGCCTGATCTGTACTCTGTGTGCACATCCCACGGGCCATCTCCAGGGCTTGCCACACACACTCTGCCTCGTTGCAGGAGAAGGCAAAACTCCACCTCCTTCAGCCGACGGCTCTTCTCATGGCTCCAGGGGGCCGGGTGGTTCTCCTCAGGTCTTAGTTCACGTGCTCCCCATCCTCAACCAAAAGCAAGGGTCTTCCTGGTTTCTCCTCCTAGAGGACCACTCTCCACCACCCTCCGTCTTTTTATCTTAAGATGATATAGATTTGCTGGAGAGTCTCAAGTATGGAGCCTCTCGCTCCGTCCTGCGCCTCCATAGCCCTGGCTGCTCTGAAATGTCTTGCAGGTTGAGTGTCCTTTTTCTGGTCCCCTGGGACAAGAAGCATTTGGGTTTTGGATTTTTTAGAAGTTTGGTGGATGTGGGGATATTTGCATCTGCATAATGGAGTATCTTGGGGATAGGAATGAAGCCTAAACACAGAATTGATTCATACTTCATGTACACTTTATGTTGGTGGCCTAGTATAAACAACTTACCTTACAAACACTTTTAGTGCACCTACAATTTGACCATGAGCTGTCACATGAGGTCAGGTGTGGAATTTTCCACCTGTGTCATTTCAGGCTCAAAAAGTGTCATATTTTGGATCATTTTGGATTTCATATTTTTGGTATAAGGAGGCTCCATTTGTGCTTATTTAGTTGTCTCTGACCCGATAGAAGGATGTCAGTCACGGGGACAGCTTGTCTGTGTCCCTGTCTTGGATGCACAGGCCTGAGAGAGCTGAGTATCCAGGGGTGAAGGGGTGGTTAGGAGATGAGGGTCACCGTGGGTTAAGCGGAGAGAAGAGGCTGGCCGGGTAGCGGGGGTGGGGGAGGCGCTGGTCCGAAGCAGCGGTAACGGGTGTTCTGAGGGAAGCCTCAGCAGAGCCTGCGGTCCTGAAGCCGGTCATCCCTGCCTGGTGAGTGGGTGAGTGAGCAAACTGGGGCCATGAGTGATGGAGGCAAAGCCCCGCCCCACTACCTGTGGGGCTTTGAGGCTCCAGCTCAGGCCTGGGAGGAGGTGCCTTGATTCCAGGTCTCCTGAGAGGAAGGGCTTCTGATGTCTTCCACCCAGAGGGCCCACTCCTCCTCCTCCAGGCAGCACTCCATGATGTCTACAGGTGTCACCTGCTTGAGCCAGCCCCATCTGGTGGCACTTTAGATCCTCATCTCTTGCACACACTTATCCCTGAGGATCCACTGTCCTAGCCCTGAGCACCGTTCACCACCCTCCGTATCCACCCGTGACCCGTGGTCCTCTCTCCCCAGCCTCCCCATGTAGCTGAGAGACCAGCTCATTCCTCTGCCTGACTTTCAGTTCATCCCTGTTCCCTTCGCCCTCAAAGACTAGGAGTTTAGAAATGCCTTCTGACCGACCAGCTTAAGAATTTTCTGGAAAGGCTGCATCAGACAGTGAATACTGTGGTGGTGATCCTTTTGTAACCTGACTATAGCTGCAGATTTCCACTTCGAGAATGATAACATGGTGTGGATTTAAAAGTACTGGGGGAATTGTAAAATGTCTAGGATTAAAATTTCAATACCATTTGTGCCCAATAAATGTGAACTCTTTAGTAACTTAAAACTGTGCTATTATGACTCAGGTCTGAAAATTATGAGTCCTGGATGAAGAAATGGGAATACCATGTGAGGGGCTCTGGTCCCATCCTTTACCTTGGGGGCCATACCGCGGCTGCGCTGCATAGCAGGAGCATGACCTCATAGGAGAGCAGGCCGAGAAGTGACGGCACTTGTTAGGAAAGTGATATAGTCTCCAGAAGAGAAAAACGTTACACTTTCCATTAGGATTGTTTATGGAAATGGGGTTGAATTGAACCTGTGTGGGTCTATTAACTGGTGTGACAGACAGGACCCCAAGAAAAAGAGCACCTAAGAGTTTATCGAAAGACTAGATTTTTTTTAAAAACATAAACCAGTCTAGTCAGTCTGAACTGGCAAATTAATTTTGTCTATAGAGTCACTTAGTGAAGCTTATAAAATTAGACTTCGTAAGGACGGAAAGGAGCTTTGGCATGGTGTTTAACAGATTCACTGGGACTTAAGTAAATGGATTTAGCCTTAATACAGCCAAAGCCTGAGACTTTTAATGGAGAGCTGCTCTTAGGTAAGACGTTAATTCATCATCTTAGGAAGTCGCTGCTCGCGCGGTTTTGTTGTCTGTTGAGGGACTGACCTATACACTTGGACCGCGATAGCAGCCCAGCACGTGTTGTAGGTCTGGAAGGACAACATGAAATTTGTATTTTTAAAGGTGTGGTATTTTCTTGGTTAGATGGACAGAGAATTCATCAGTTCTAACACCTACCATGATTTAATGGATTACCGTGTCTCCCTGGACTTACTCAACTTCCAGATATTTCCACTGTGTCTTTTACGAAATAAGTCTGTGATGCCATCCTGCTCCTGGGAGAATAAAACAGGCTGCTTCTCTTTTGATTCAGGGGTGAGCCTGTGGGACCAGGAAGGAGCCTACGAAGTCGCCAGTGCCTTTCTTCTGAACGGAGACCTTGGCATCCCGGTCAAGAGCGACGGCGTGAAGGTCAGCTGCTTTTGCTTTGGTTTTTCCCAATCTTTGAGACTGCGCAAGTTTTCAGATCGCATTGACTGCACTGATGTTCTTTGATTCAAGTTTGCCTTTCCCCATTTCAGTCCTCACTGTATAGAATGAAAGCTTGAGTCTCCAGAAAGATAAAATGGAACCCAGTTTTGATGTGGCAGTTCCAATGAGTGACCCAGCATCTACTGAAATTTATTTTTCAAGCGAACGTCAAGGAATACATTACTAGATATTACAACTTCCATGTTTAGTTTACTTGACAAGTGTTTTAAGATTCATGTCTATTTAATCAGCTTCTCACTTTTTCAATTGATTATTGGTACAAATGTTTTCATGCAACTTACAAGATGTGTAATGAGTTTTAATGGAGTCTACATTTTCTTTTATTTTGACATGTTTGATTTGCACCTTCTGTGATACAAAAGAGTAATATGAAATAATTGGAATATTAGTGATTAAATTCAGTATCTCAGTGAGCATTATCTGCCAAATTGGCATGACTTTCTTACATTTCAGAACTTGTAGGAACGGTTGGAAAGTGATACAATCTATAGAAATATGAGCTTTTTGGAGAGATCAGACAGATGGCTTTATCCTCGTGTTATTGGAACTATTTTTAGATCATTTTTCATGATAGAAAACAGATTTTTTTTTTAAAAGAGCAGTCAGGAGTGTGAAAATCCTAGGTAGCTTTCTGGAGTGGTTGCAGGCCCAGCACTCTCTTGAGTTGAGATAGGATGATTTAAATCATTCGTTCACTTTCTAGAGAGCTTGTATTAGAAAGGATCTTAAGAAAGGTGGGTGGTTTGACTAAAGGATCTCAATGCCAAATCTGCACTTTCTTTAAACATTTCTGTTTCATGGAGATTGTTGCAAACTGAATATGCAAAGGACAAGTCCACCATGGTAGTATGGGTTTCCTGGGAGAAAAGCTCAAGATAGTGAAGATAGTAACATCTTCCTGTTAGCAAAATCAGAAACAATGTGATAGAGAGAGAGAAAAGATGAGCATCCCGTTTGATAGAGAACATATGTCTACTTGAAATATTTGCAGGTACTAATAATAGGAAAATAAAGAACGGTCTAAAGTTTCAGAGACTTTCCCTGGGTAGAGTTGCTAGATTTTGTGAATAAAAGCACAGAATGCTGGATAAATTTGGATTTCAGATAAACAATGAATTTTTTAGCATAAGTCTATTCTCTGTAACATTTGGGACATACTTATGTGGAAATTTTGCTGGGCATTGTCCATCTGAAATGCGGATTGCACTGGGTGTCCTGTCTTTTATCTGGCCACCCTGTCTCAGGGGCATCAGGGAATGAGTTGCTGAGGACTGTGGGTTGCCACTGGCATGGACCGGTGCTGCTTTGCTCTGGTTTCTGACCCGCCCACCCGGCAGCAGGAGGAGGGTTGGTACATCCTCTGCCGGCCATGCTTCCTTCCTAGCTGATGAACACGGGTCAGGAGCACCATCTTGTAGAAAAGTCGGAAAGCCATTATTGTTGGGTAGATGCCCCAGCTCCTCTGGGCCTCTCCTCCAGAATTAGAACCACGAAGGTTGTAAAAGAAAGGCACTGGAGCAGTTCCAGGGTGCTGGCGTTATTTAAGAGAAGGGGGACCTAGAAGAGCCGGGAATAGCTTTTTGTTGTGATACCACCGGGCTCAGCTCAACAGGCAGTTTGTGACATCTGTGCTGGCTCTGTGATCACTGTGTGTACTCACACTTGGTGGACAACTGCCCAAACCCTGCATGAGTCGGGGTGCGTGTAAGTGGCCTGTTAGCGTGTGCGTGTGTGTTTGCCAGGATTCTCCATGGAGAGGATGCCTGTGAGTGGGGGATTAAGGATCTGGCGAGTGGTGTATGTGTATGCATCTGTCCTTATTGTCAAACAGTCAAAATTTCAGTTTTCAACTGTATCAACGCCGAGTCTCTTTATAGAGACAAAGTGTACTCATATTGATGATTATTTTTGTGGCACAACTGCTGAACTGTGGTAAACAGACTTTGGATCTGCCTCTTGTTCCCCTGCTTCTTGCTATCTAGCCACATTTAACAGAGGGCCTCTGATGTGCCAGGGGCTGGGCGTGCAGACAGTGAGGGAGGCGGAACACCTCCGCCCCCTGCACCTTACTTCCAGGTTGTGGTAAGGGTTAAGAAAGACACAGCGGGTTAGTCCAGGAGCTAATCGAGGAGCGACACCAGGAAAGACGATGGTGAGATGTTCACTTTTTTCAGGAGATTGAGAGCTGCCCGAGAGGGGTGGTGTGTGAGTGGCTGGGGTGCAAGGAGCTGGGGGAGCTGAGCACATCGCCAACATGATTGTCATGCCCACAGGCAGACAGGCCTGGGAGGAAGCAGGAACAGCACGGGGCTGTGCCCCACAGGGCTCTACAGTGACCTTGCCTGGACAACACACACTTGTCCTGAGAAGGTGACAAACCGTAGCCCTCTTTCTCTGGCAGGTAATTATTTGCATCATGATTTGATGGGACTTACCAAACCTTGACGTTAATTTTTTTTGTAATTATTCTTCCCTGGAGTGGACACATGGAGAACTCATAGCAGTAAGAGGAGTTTCTGTTCATTTTCTCTCTCTCTCTCTCTCTCTCTCTCTCTCTCTCTGTCTCTGTAGTACTGGGGAGGGAACCCAGGAATGCCCCATCACCAAGCGCCATCCCCAGCCCTTTATATATATATATATATATTTTTTTTTAATTTTGAGACGGGGACTTGCTGAGTTGCAGAGACTGACTTCAAACTTGTGACATCCTGCCCCAGCCTCCGGCTAGACACGTCTAACTCTTAGCATCTCTTCTGTCTTCATGGCCATCCGGCGTTCAGGGCAGAGAGCAGGTGCCTCGTGGGAAGGCCACTAGAGCTTGGGCACTAGAGAAGGAGATTCAGATTCCAGCTTGGGCTCCCTCCAGATAAATGGCCAGAACAGTTTCCTACAAGGATCTAACCCATCACCATCTGCTTCCCCTTCAGAGGGGAACTTTGCATGAAGCAAACTCGAGTCTTGGCGTAAAGGGACTTAACTTCATGGTCTAACCACTGCCCCACGTGCCCACCAACCCAGGTTCGGGTCTGCATCCCTTTCCACGGACTTTCCATCCTCCTAGGAGCCATCCTTGTAGTCTGTGAACTGTGACCATTTGTCCAAAGGGGCTTTGTCCGACTCTGACTGTACACAAAGACTCACACGTGGGTCCCTAGATGGAAATAAGGAGGGTGGTCATCAGTCAGACTGGGGATGTATTGAGGAGGAAGGGTCAATGAGATTTGCCAGTGTGGTAGTGACATTGAAGACAAACCCTGGGTTTTGGCCCTGGCTACCTGGGAGGGAGGGACTGCTGTCATAGATATCCTCAGAGGGAAAGAACCCTTAGTGTCATTTGGTTCTCACTACACGGTTAATCTGCCATGCACACTGGCTCTCAATCTGGCTGCACATTAGAATCACCTGGAAATGTTGATAAATATCAGTGTTCAGTGTCCGTTCTGTGAGAGTTCATTTAATCAGTTTTGGGGAGGACCCAGGTATCTTCCCTTAAAAAAAAATGCCCCAGATGGTTTTTTTTATTAATTTTTTTAGTTATATATGGCACAATATCTTTATTTTGTTTATTTATTTTTATGTGGTGCTGAGGATTGAACCCAGGGTCTCACACGTGCGAGGCGGGCACTATACCACTGAGCCCCAACCCCGCCCCCCAGGTGGTTTTAGTGAGCACACCAGGTCCAGAAGCACTTGGGGGGGTGAGCCTGCCTCTGGCCCTGGAGGGCTGGCCACCTTGACCCAGGGATTTAGACAAAGGTGCTGTTGGGCCTCCCGCCTCTGCGCTGTCCTTGCCACCGCCCCCTCTCACGTCTGTGACTGAAACAGATCTGGGTGGGATATCAGTGGGTCCCTTCCAGACTAGGTCTCAAGCCGTCACTGCCACGGAGAACTTAGTTGAAAGAGTGGAGGGAAGGGAAGGGACGTGGCCTGTGCCCACAGGAAGGCCCCCGCCTCCTGTCTGCACCGGCTGTGGCCTGTAGCCTGGCGATAAGCTTATCTGCCTTCCCTCTTCCAAGGGTCATTGTCGGAACAAGAAGAAACAAAGGCTTCAAAATCACACTGGGCGTGGAACCTTACCACCCGAGTGTGAAGTGATAAAGTGTCTTTAGGGACCATTCTCCATCTTGAAAAACCTCAAGCCTAGAACCAGGAAGACGTGTCAAAGCGTGATGGCTGGTGGGGCTGACCCCAGTGGAGACCCTGTTCTCTCTCATTTCCTGAGTCTGTCCTTGAGTCTCACAGCTGGAGGCAGCAACTGACTCTGGCCTGGCTCGGCTAACGGGCCCGTGCACTCCATGCTCCGTGCGGCCCACACCATTCCATAGGTGGAGGTGGGGATCGGCTAGAACACTGCTGAGGCAGGTCCTGCTCCTGCTTTCGAAACCTGCAGAAGCCACCATAATGTCTGCCCTCACAGCCAGTTCTTTAGCACGATGACACGGTGCTTCGAAGGCCTGGCTGTCCTGGGTCTCAAGCACCTCCCAGCTCTCTGCCATGCCACGTGCGAATGGCCCCATCCTGCCCAGACACACCATGTCCCTGTGTTCCTCTGACCCCCAGGTCTTACTCACTCCTGAAGTCCCAGCTTACACAGCACTTGGTCTTGGGAACTCCGTCCTGCCTCCTGACCTCGTGGCCCGGCCATCCTCCCTGCACCTGCTTTAGCAAGTCAGACACATCTCTGTGATGTGCAGTCCTACTACGTGCACATTCACCTCTCGCACATTCAGCCTGTCGACGTGTGGAAATAGATGCCGCAGAGAGACCATGTAAATGGTATAAGTGAGCACGACTCTGGCGTCTCCCTGGAGCTCGGGACCAGAGTGTGTGCCGGGGAGAGCAGCCTCCGCGGTGTCTGCGGGTCCTCCTGCCTGCGTGAGAGGAGCTGCACACTCCTCAGAGCAACGCTGGCTCTTCCT